TTAGAATATCCAGTGACCTTTTTATATTTATTCAGCTGGAAATCCATAAGGTTTTGGTTTTTTTCTTTCCTCCTTCACATACACATTTACCTACATAGAACATTGGAAGGAATGTTTATGTAATGGATTGTTTGCTGTTTGAGCTGACATTGCCCTTTGCATATTCACATTAGGAATATCTTATAGTGCACATTTACAACAAGTTTCCAGTACAGTGCATACATTGCACAGGGAGGCACATCAGGATGGAGCACTCATCAAGATCATGTGTGATCCCATGATAGCCTGGACCTGCCCTCTGTAATGCCTTTTCCACCTAGTACATTGAAAGTTAAGTATTCCATAGTATTCCATTCTTTATGTTCAATATCACTGCAGCACACCTCTTGTAGTTTTAGTTAGGCACTATGTCTTCTTCATAGGGCTGTCTACTTGTTGAGGTCAAGGACAATATTTTATTAGTACGTGTGTTCTTCCTTTCACATTAACAAAGTCCCTCATATCTAGTAAGTCAATTATTGAGCTGTTTTTTATAACATAAAATCATTGGTACGATTTGACTGTCAGATTACCTAATTTAGTCTTACTAATATTTTTGTTCAGACCAGGGAGGTAAAAATACTAAAGTATGCTCAATTATAATCCTACCATACCTATCATATTGTGTGGAACCAGTCTTAAAAGGAGTTTTGAGAAGTAGAGATTGTTTACAGCAGAGCAATCTGGATAGCAAGGATCTTAAATCAAATTTTAAGGAGCACTGAAAGGGACTCCTGAGTTTAAATATTTAGTTTAAAGAAGAGAAACTTCAGGAAAGAGTGGAATATGATTGCCATCTTCAGTTTTTGAAAGTCTTTTCAAGGGGAAAGGAAAAGAAGATTTACTGTGTTGCATATGACTTAGAGTTTGAAACAAAAATACTTGAAATCCCATGGTTTTGCAGCAGTATGCTGTTTTGATTTTGTTTTTTTTAAGGAAAAAAAGTTTAATGTACAAAAAGAAGAGAAGAACACCCATTCTACTACCAGTAATTCCCTTGGATCTGATGAAAGCTACTATATATACCTGGAGACATTATTCCATATAGTTTCAGAAGGAATCCTTAGGGAATCCCTTCCTTAAGGAATCCATGAATCTCTAGTTAAGGTCTCATGTCCTCTTGTGTTCTCCCTCTCTCTTTCTCTCTCTCTCTCTCTCTCAGTCTCCTCCCCGCCTCAATCTTTCCCTCCCCCACTCTATATATATACACAAATATACATATATATTTCACAAAAATGGTGTCATAGCCTATATTCTTTGATCACATTTTCACTAAATATATACTGCATTTTGCCATGTATGATGCGTACTTTTTTGCCCAAATTTGTGAGGGAAAAATAAGGATGCATGCATTATACATGATTAGTACTAATTCCGTATCTGTATAAACGTTTTTAATTCTTTTAATGCTTATGAGTTAAAATTGTAACTCTATAACGATATCTGTTGCAGAATAATACTCTGGAATATGATAATCAGTTTTGTTGAACTTATAACAAACTTTCAACAACAAAGAGTTCTTGGCCTTCTATGATGTGTAAATATCATAAGTTTGTTACTGGTATGTAAAATTTTTTGCACCCTGTATCTGTTCTTGTGTTTTATAATTATTTGTTAGATAAAATTTCTTGTACCATAATATGTTAAAAAATAAATCCTAAAATTGCTTTGTAATACAAAAAACAAGTACCCAAATGTAAACAAATAAAAATTTGAATTAAAAAATTTAAACGAGGGCCGGCCGAGTGGCGCGATGGTTAAGAACTCGCTTGGGATGCCAGAAGGCCCCGGTTCGGATCCCACATATGAGGGCCAGTGACACTGCCCTCTACAGCTAAGATGCTGAGCAACAGCTCAACCTGGAGCTGGGCTGCCAGTGAGTCCCCGGCGACGGCGTAGGCTGCAGTCCCTGTGGCAGTGGGTTGCCATGGGCTACCGTATGTAGCCAGCAGCCAGCGTGAGCGGCCAACAGCCGCAGTGAGCAGCCGTCCAGAAGCCGGTGACTGATCTGCCTCGCCAGGGAAGAGCACAATGATGGTGCCAACTTGGGCCAGTGAAGCGACATCCTCCACAACTAGACTGAAGAACAAAATGACAGCAACTTGTCTGTTCCCCTTCCCCCAATTCCCCAGCACTGTTCCCATCCCCCCAATTCCCCAATAAAAAAAAAATCTTAAAAAAAAAATTTAAAACGAAATATTTTTTTCCCTGAAAGTTTGGGCCAAAAACATGGGTGCACATTATAATCACACATACGAGTGTGCTATACATGGCAAAATATGATAATAATAATTACCACTGTTGAGTATTCAATGTATGTCAGTAATTGTGCATTCGCCTAATACACAGAACCAAAGATTTTTCCAGGTTCATTAAATATTCATCTTTAACATAAGTTTTTAACTGGTGGTTATATTTGAGGCATTTGGTGTCTTTTTTTATCTAGAAATAATATTTTACAAATAGTATTTCCACAGATTTGCTTTGTTTTGCATTTATTTCAGACCAACTATTTAAGAAAGTTATTTGTGTTAGATAAAATAATTAATATACATACAATACTTCCAGTTGCACTGGAAAATTTCTGTGACCTAAGAGTCAGCAGACTCACATGCAGCGTTGGTTGTCATTTGTTTGTCACTTAACTTCTCTGAACATTAGTTTTTTTATCTTTATCAAAGGGCTAATATAAGTCTCCCTGACTTCACATAGCGGGTATAAAAAGAGGTTAGAGGGAAAGTACTATTAAAACAAGCATTATTAGATTTGCTAATTTAAAAGTATTTGAGAATGTCAGTTCTAGTAAATAAATGTAAAATCTGATAGCAAACCACCTGCCCTTTTTTTTTTAAGGAAAACCCAAATCCAATCAGATGATTGATTACTAAACATTTTTTAAATTTACTTCCAGAAAAGTTGTTTTCTTATATTAGTAATATAAACAACAGTGATAACTGGTTTTATTTGGTGAACATTCATAAAGTGTGAAATACTATCCTAAAGCATTTGCTACATATATTGTTTCATTTAGTCCTTAACAACAACTCTGGAGGAATTGTTGAGTTAAGATCCAGGCCTATCACATTCTAAAACCTGAACTCTTAACCACTTATATTTACTCACTTTGTATCCTAAAAGAGGCAGTACATTGAGGCATTGAGGTTAAGAATATAGGTTCTGGAGTTGGCCAACCTAGATATGAACTCTGGGTCTGTCACTTAGTAACCTTTTGACTTCAGCAAGGTAGTTAAACCCTTTCCTGTCAAACAGGGATAATAATGCACCTACTGATAGAGATATGACAATCAAATGATCAAATGTGAAGCATTTAAATAGTCTCTGGCACATAGAAAGCACTCTCTATAATTGTCATTATTTACAAACTTTTTAAAACTATGTAGCTCATGAAAACATTTAGTTCATAGATTCTACTGATTAGACAGTTTGGGAGACCAGGAATTTAAAAAAAAAATTTTTTTTATGTGAAGGTTTCCATCAGAAGATGGTTTTATTTTTTTATTAAATTTATTGGGGTAATATTGGTTAATAACATATAAACTTCAGGTGTACAAAATTATAATTCGACGTCTGTATACTCTATTGAGTGCTTAAAATCCAAAGCCTAGCCTCCTTCTGCCGCCATATATTTGATCCACCTTACCCTGTTCACTTTCTCCAACCTCCCTTCCTCTTTAGTGACCACCATTCTGTTGTCTATGTCTGTGAGTTTGTTTTTGTTTGTTCATTTGCTGCTTTTTGTTTTATATCCCACATATGAATGAAATCATATGGTTCTTATCCTTTTCTATCTGACTTATTTCACTTAGCATTATACTTTCGGGATCTATCCATGTTGTCATGAATGGCAATATTTCATCTTATGGCTGAGTAGTATTCCATTGTATATGTTTATCTCATCTTTATCCAATCATCTGTCTGTGGACACAGGTTGTTTCCATTTCATGGCTGTTGTAAATCATATGTAAGGGTACATATATCTTTACAAGTAAGTTTTTTCAAACTTTTCAGGTAAATACACAGAAGAGGGATTGCTGGCTCATACGGTAGTTGTGCCCTTTATTTTTTGAAGAACCTCCATACACCAATTTACATTACCATCAGCAGTTTATGAGGTTCTCTTTTCTCCACATTCTCTCCAACACGTGTTATGTCTTGTCTTATTGATAACAGCCACTGTAACAGGTGTGAAGTGCTATCTCATTGTGGGTTTGATTTGCATTTCCCTAATAAGTAGTGATGTCGAATATCGTTTTATATGTCTGTTGGCCATCTTCATACCTTCCTTGGAAAAGTATCTATTCAGGCCCTCTGCCCATTTTTTAATCAGATTGTTTGGTTTTGTTGTTGTTGGGTTGTATGGGTTCTTTATATAGTATTTTGGATATTAGCCCCCTTACCAGAAGTATCATTTGGCAATATCTTTTCTCATTTGGTTGGTTGCCTTTTTGTTTTGTTGATGGTTTCTTTTGCTGTACAGAAGAAGCTCTTTTGATTGATATAGTCCCATTCATTTATTTTTGCTTTTGTTCCCTTTGTCTTTGGGGTCAAGTTCACAAAAACATTTCTGAGACCAGTGTCCATAAACTTAGTGCCTGTTTTCTTCTACGTACTTTATTGTTTCAGGTCCTACATTCAGATCCATTTTGAGTTAATTTTTTGTATATAGTGTAAGATAGTAGTCTAGTTTTAGTCTCTCATATATGGCTGTCCAGTTTTCCCAACACCATTTATTGAAGAGACTTTCCTTTCTGTATTGCATATTCTTGGCTTCTTTGTCAGAAATTAGTTGCCCATATGTGTGTGGGGGAATGTATTTTAATATATTCCCTACCTTTAACTTTCTCACTGCCATCTTTCAGTTTTTTGATTTAGCACAGTGGCCACATGAAAACTATCTAAATCACCTATTTCAACTAATGCTTATTTTATATGTTTTTTAGGTCATTTCTGATTCATTTGCATCTTTGACGAGCATCTGGAGAAGAGGAAAGAAAAGATGGGTGTGAAAACATTTACTCATAGCTCCTCTTCCCACAGCCAGGAAATGCTTGGAAAGCTAAATATGCTGCGAAATGATGGACATTTTTGTGATATCACTATTCGTGTCCAGGACAAAATCTTCCGGGCACATAAGGTGGTACTAGCAGCTTGCAGTGATTTTTTTCGCACCAAACTTGTAGGCCAAGCAGAGGATGAGAACAAGAATGTGTTGGATTTGCATCATGTTACAGTGACTGGCTTTATACCCCTTTTAGAATATGCTTACACAGCCACTCTGTCAATTAACACAGAAAATATCATTGATGTTCTAGCTGCAGCCAGCTATATGCAAATGTTTAGTGTTGCTAGCACCTGCTCAGAATTCATGAAATCAAGCATTTTATGGAATACACCCAACAGCCAACCAGAAAAGGGTCTAGATGCTGGACAAGAAAATAACTCTAACTGCAATTTTACTTCTCGAGATGGAAGCATTTCTCCAGTGTCTTCAGAGTGCAGTGTGGTAGAAAGAACCATTCCTGTCTGCCGAGAATCCCGGAGAAAGCGCAAAAGCTACATTGTTATGTCTCCTGAAAGCCCTGTAAAGTGTAGCACACAAACAAGTTCTCCCCAGGTATTGAATTCTTCAGCTTCCTACTCAGAAAATAGAAATCAACCAGTTGACTCTTCTTTAGCTTTTCCCTGGACTTTTCCTTTTGGAATTGATCGAAGGATTCAGCCTGATAAGGTTAAGCAGGCAGAAAATGCTCGGACTTTAGAATTACCTGGCCCATCTGAGTCAGGTAGAAGAATGGCTGATTTTGTGACTTGTGAGAGCACAAAAACTACCTTGCCCTTGGGTACCGAAGAAGATGTCCGGGTCAAAGTAGAAAGGTTAAGTGATGAGGAGGTCCATGAGGAAGTATCCCAGCCTGTCAGTGCATCTCAGAGTTCACTGAGTGATCAGCAGACAGTGCCAGGAAGTGAACAAGTTCAAGAGGACCTGCTGATAAGTCCACAGTCTTCCTCTATAGGTATAATGTCTTCTGTGTTTTTCATGATGCTATAAAGTCAGTTCAAGCATTTTTAAGTACTTACTTGATAAAGAGTGTTTTGTTGTGTCCTACCTATAGGAAATATTAGGAAGAATAAAACATGATAACTGGATTTTTTAAGATGCTACTAGTACTATAATTTTTTTTTTAACAATTTATACATTGGGACAGAAGGAAAATAGTTGAACAATATCTGATGGGACAAAGGCAGATATAGATGAATGAATTGTGAATTACTTTCAATGCAAAAAAATACCAGTTTAAAAAAATCCAGTTAGTGTTTTATTCTTTATTAAAATATGTATTGAAAACTTAACATGTGTCGAACATTGGGAATACATGATAAAAAAGAGATAGTTGCTGCTTGTGAGGAGTTAATAGTCTAACTGAGGAAGCAGATGTGTAAATCAACGATTAATGCTAGGCTAGAGATATGAACAAAGCGTTATTAACATGTTCACAAAGGAAAAAGCAAGTTAATACTGTACATTTGAGCTGGATCTTAATAAGTAGGAGTTTGCCCAGGCAAGGGAATGCCATTTCTTTGAGAATGTATAAAAACACAGACATGTGGAAGAGCATTGACTGTTTGGTAAGCAGTGAATTTGATGCAGAATGATGTGAATAAAACATGGAAACCTGCAAGTATGGAAAATAATGAGTGATAAAACAAAATGAGTTGTTGAGAGCATGTTGTGAAGAGCCTTGCACACTAGGATTTCATTCAGCTCCATGTAACAGAATCCCTTCAGAGTGGCTTAAACCTAACAAGATTTTATTTTTATTGCATAAAATGTTCAGAAATAGGAAGTCCAGGACTAGAATAGTAGCTCTACAATGTAATCAGTTGTTGGCCCCTTGTATGTTTATAACCCATACAAGGTTATAGTTTGTCAGTTTGATTTGTATGCTTATTTCTTTACGGTTATAAAATGCTTCATTTTTAGCCTGATATTCTAGAAAGGAGTAGTGTTTATATCAGGAAAGCACAGATGTTCCCAGAAGCCCTAAAAAGCTTCTGCCAGATGTCACATGGTTTTTCTAGTTGCAAGGGAATCTGGGAAGACATGTATATTAGCTGGATGTGTAATTGCCTCAAACAAAATTAGAGGAGAATGGATATTGTATGCAACTAGCACTGTCTGCCACAGATAGGCCAAGTAAGCTTGGATTTTATCCCAGTGGTGATAAGGAGTCTAGCTTAAAGGGAATAAAAAATAAAACATTTACAGGTATTTTCGGAAAATTAATTTGGTATTGATATGGCTGGGCAAAGACAGTCTCAGGACTATTACCATATAGTTGCCTCTGTATGAATATGAATGAATATGCTTAGAGTAAAACTATAAAGAAAATGGGTATTAAGAGACTTTGTAAAGAAGAGTCATTACTATCTGATGATATCTGAATATGTGGATTGAGAGAATAGGAGAGGTCAGAGTTCTCTGGATGACTAGGAAAATATTGATAACATTATATTTATTGATTCTAAGTCACAATTTTTCATATTTTATTATCTGAACCCAGCTGTGTCTTCAATTAAGCCTTTTATAATTTTTCTTTCTTAAATGGTACAAAAAAATAATGGTAATCATATAAAGGAGTCTATTAAATGAAGTAACTAAAATATGAACTTCAGAAGGAAATGGGAACCCAATTTTAAGAGTACGTCAACAAGGTCAATTCTGTATGATTTGTGCTTGGTGGATGACCAAGAAATATCATGCCACAAAGCACTTAAAAAGGCAGGATTGGTGAGATATGACTGAAGATTACCAATTTGGGTCTTTTCTTTTAGAACTGACAGATGATTTTCAACATATATATATATGTTTGCAAAAACCAAGCCAACAAAGAATAGTAAAGAGTATTTCTCCAAATGATTGAAGAACCAGAAAGGCCATAATAATTTTGTCACTTTCTTAGGGCCGGCCGAGTGGCTCATTGTCACTTTCTTGAATTTTGACCCACTATGTGAGTTCCCTAGTGCTGCCGCAACAAAGTACCACAAACTGGATGATTTAAACAACAGAAATTTATTCTCACAGTTCAGGAGGCCAGAAATCTGAATTTAGGTGTTGGCAGGGCCATGCTCCCTTTGAAAGCGGTAGGGAAGGGTCTTTCTTTGCCTCTTCCTATCTTCTGGCAGTTACAGACACTCCTTGACATTCTTCAACTTGTAGCTGCATCCCTCCAATTTCTTCCTCCATTTTCATGGGACATTCCCTCAGCTTCGGATCCAAATCTCCCTCTCTTTATCAAGGACACCAGTCATTAGATTGGGGCCCACCCTATTCCAGTATAAGCTCATCTGATTTCATTACTTCTGCAAAAACCCTATTTCCAAAATAAGGCAAATTCACAGATACCAAGGGTTGGACTTGAATATGTCTTTTGAGAGGGACACAGTCCAGCCCACAACACCAATTAAAAATCATATTCCTAAATTTGAGTCAAGATACTTTTGAAGAATTCAAGTGACCACACATGGAAGAAGATACTTGAGGACAAGAGATCATAGCTGTTTGTTGATATGACCCAAGTTTTTGTTAAGTTACTAGAGTCCTTAATCCTGAAACAGCTTGATACCTTCTGAATAATGAGCTATTTAATGAATTATTACTATTTTAATCATTTATCTGAGAACTTAGAAACAGATCTTAATCTAACTGAACATCTTGCTAACTAGACATGTTAAATAGTCTTGTTTTAACACTCTTAAGTATATTAATTCAGATTTTGCCTTTACTATATTAACATTAAATAGTTACATAAGCATAACTTATTTCTAGTATACTAGTATAAATGTAGGTTCTATTATAAAACAGACACAACTCTGATCTGAATATCATGTAATCAAATAATACAGATGAAGTTTTCTTTCTTGCCTTCATAGCAAATGTACTAATCACTCTCAACTAACCTATCTTAAATCCAAACCTATGCACTAAAACAAAGCCTTACAGAAAAAAGTTAAATTCCTGTTATATAGTATACAGTCAGAAAAATGTGGGAGAAAGGTAAGATGTATATGGTACTTTTTTCCATATTCCATAGAAATACTTCTTAAGAGTACTTCATTTTACTAACTTATTCAAGAAGATACCTAAGGGGTAGTTTGTCATTCTAAAGACTAAGACTATAATATTTAATATATTATTATGAATTCTGAAATAATTATTTGAATATCCATGAAATTAATTCAAATAAGATGTTACCTGTTCTTTTAAGTTCCCTTTATTACCAGTTGCCCAGCAAAAGATTGTAAAATCTAATATCCCCAATATATGGCAAATAGAAGAAATAAATACAACAAACTTAGAAAAGAGACTGCCAAGTTCAGGTTGGGTTTTGCTACTCAAAAAGGTGACCATAAGTATCTGAGATAGTTTAAGAAAAAATTTTATAAGTAAGAAGGACCTCATGATATGGCTTCGTTATTTATCTTGAAGATATATCTGCATGACAAATATAAATAGTTCTAGGTAATCCACAGTTTACTATGTTAACAAAGGAATTTAATTTTTTCTAGACTCTTAAATCTGCCATTAAAAGAAAATTGATCATTTTGATGATCGGTAAAGATATTAAGAAATAATTTGACAATTTACTCAGCAGTAGTAAATAGATAAACTTGTTGAGGTGGGCAGCTAGAATAAGGGTGGAATTGCAACATTGATCATATACACTATATAGCATAATGATTACAAGTTCAGGACTTGAAGTCAGATCTAGATTCTGCTACTGGTTTTGCCACTTAATAGATGTGTGACTTTGAGCAAGTCACTTAACCCGAGTTTCCATAACTGTAAAGTAAGAATAGTAATGCCTATCCATTAAGTACGTCAGTGCCCTCAAGCAAAAGACCACCAGTAACACACCTGTAGTTGAACAAGTTGGGGTGGGTGGTAGTTTTAATATCTGATAATCCCTAACAGTAACCCTAAATACACAGGATAAGTTAGTGTGCAGCACACATGTGTAACTCCCCTGCACGTAAGTAGTATTCTAGTGGTAGGAGTATTGGAAATACAAGTAGTAGTCATTACAACAGGAGTGAGCCAGTTTTGTGTCTCTTAAAATGGACAAATTCCTGGCAGAGAGATCCAAGATAGTGGAGTAGATAAACACTGCCTGCTTTTTTCCATGAACACATTAAAATTACAACTAAATTATAGAGCAATCAACCTGTAGAACCATCTGAAGTCTAGCTGACCAGAAGTTTTATGATTAAGGATGTAAAGAAGAGGTCACATCAAGACTGGTAGAAGGGACGGAGACGTGAAACAGGCTCGTCCCAAACCTCTGTGTGGCGGTTGAGAATCAGGAGGGATATCTTGACCCCAGAGGTTCCCCCCGTAGGAGCGAGGGACCCCAGCCGCACACCATGCTCCCCAGCCCTGAGTACTGGTGCCAGGAAGAAGAGCCCCCACAACATCTGGCTGTGAAAGTCACTAAGGATTCTGACCATCCAGGTGGGATGGAAGGCTGCAGGAAACCCAGGCATCCTCACATAGTCTCACTCTCAGGCATTCACCCTGGACTCCTGAAGAGGGATGGTGACTTGGGGGCCGTCAGAGGGGCAGACTGAGATGTGTGGTTTTGGAGTGAGGGCTGCAGGACAGTCACCATTTTCCCTGTGTGGGATCCTCCTCTTATGCTGCTGGCAGGCAGGTGCCATCTTTCCTGTGTTGCACCCTCCCCCCATGCAGCCAAATCTGAATCTGAATTGGTCTGGTGAGCTTCGCTGGGACCCCGCCCCAAAAAATACCAGAAGCACTTTCTCAGGTAGTAGCCAGCCCCGCCCACATTCCACTCTTTCTTGGAAAACTGTTGGAGTTTCCCAAGTGGGCGGCAACTGGCCTTGGTGTGCTCTGAGACTTTTCCTCAGTCACTCCAGGTTCAGCACTGGCACCAAACCAGAATTTACATTAACCTGGTAACCAGAATTCTTCCTGCTCTAGTGACACCCTGAGACC